AAAAATCTCTATAGAATGTTTTGTAAGTAAGTTACAAGTGGAAAATATTGTGGGACTGGACATAAAATTTACGAATCAACACTATAAATAAATATAAAAACAACTCACCATATCCAAATTGTTGAATAGCATATTAAGATTATTAAAATTATTTAAATTATCAATTTTAGGTGCAATCGGTCTAGGTGGATTCATCATGTTCGGATTCAATATGGATTTCATCCGTCTTCCGCGTCTCGGCGTTACCTCTGGGTTCCTCTGTCTATAGTCAGCTATTATAGACTTGACATCTTTAGTAGGACCTTGTCGACCCATCGGCATACCGAAACTGTTCATCTGGCCATTCAAATCTCTAGAGAAACCTGGTAGAGGGCCGGGTAACATTAACGGTTGATGGAATACTGGCTTTGGCATAGATTGCATATGTGCAGCCTTGTCGTACGGCGGTGGCAACCCTGACATGTGGTTAAAATGTGTCGTGACTGGCAACACTGGAGGTTGTAGGATAGGGTTGACCATCGCAGAACTCGGCTGTTTGATCGCCAACCCTGAGATTTCATCGCTCTTGTCTATAGCCAGGTTTTTAGCTTGATTTAAATAATCGTAGGGATCCGTCCGCTCCGAACCGTTTACGTCCGCCGATTTTTCGAACGATAGAACTTGTTTGCGTCTTAGAAGTCGTAATAGAATCTCTTCTTTGACCTTTTTGAGGTGCAAAATGTTATTCCATTCGTGTTCTTTCTTTTGGGCGAGTTCTCTTAGCGTTTGTATTTCTGAGAGCAGTTGTTCTGTATGCCTTTGTATTTCATCAACATTGTTTTTGGTTGCGGTCTGAATGTAGTCGCTTATCATGACATCGTGCTGAGGAAAAGTCTTCTCTACTTCCTGACAGAGTTTCTTCAGCGGTGACTCTGTGTCGACGTCTTCGCTAATTCGTCTTTTTGTTGATTGCTCCTCCTGGAATATGACGAATGTATTAAGGTGCGGCTAACTGTACATTCGCGGGCTATTCGCCATTGTGAATACAGAAATATTTTTCCTAAATAACAAATGTTTTTGTGTGTCCCTTAATAGTAAGGTGCAAATAAAAACCAATAAATTGATTGAAAAAAGATACTGTTAATAACTCATTAACATCACTAAAATAACAATTACCTTAATAACATCGCCGTTCAAAGATTGCGTATTGATTTTAGGTTCGGTTTTCTCTGTCTTTTCACTAGTCTGCACCACTTCAGTCATTGCCACATCAGCGTCAGTCTCTTGTGGTTTCACCTCCTCGGGCTTTGCCGCAGGAGTTTCCTTCACCGGACTCGGTTCCTCAACTTTCGGGACCTCGACAGACTGCTTCGTTTCCTGAGGCAATTCGGTGGACTCCGACACAGTGTTGTCTGGAGTTTGGTCAGGTTTTAAACTAATCGCGACATCGTCTGCCACATTTTTTTCCTCTATCACAGTTATAGGTGCTTCATCTTTCAGCAATACTTCTGAAAAAAATCGTAAAATGTCACCATTGCAAGAACTTTTCTTGACGTAGTTAATTTTCGTTTCCCAACCCCATTTTAAAACATATTGTTATCTTTGTTTTGTCAAAGATGAAAGACAGGGATGACGATATGTTTTTACAGTGATTGGTCTAAGAAACGAACAGCTAACGAAATGTCTGGTGATATGCATATACAAAAACACATGTCGCCTGGTTTTAATTCATGCCACCCACAAAGATCCTAAAACATCAGAGATATTATTTAAGTCTTGTAACCTCGGGAAAAGTGATAGAACATAGAGTCCGACCTTTTCCCTCATGGTCCGTCTCTACTGCGACTACGAAAGACCTTTCGCTATGACCAGAACAATGCGGCTAAATTCAATGTCAAAATAAAACTTTTGTTTCGATATGACACACACTCAACGCCCAGATACAGGTCTATACTATCGGTTTCGTGAAAAAGTATGTTCTTTTTAAATACAGATTTAATACAGTAACTCCTTATTGCCTAACCGTCTTAGATCGTATGTCTAATGCCTTGAATTTATATACCTATTAACGTAGACTATACTTTCATTCGAAAAATCGTACTGGCATCCAACACATTACATTTCAAGGTAAATAACACAATTTATATCAAGACACAATTAAAAAAAAACTGTGTTCCGGTATTGAGGGTTTGATAATCAAAAAAAAAATAACTGAATATACTTCCATACATTTAGAGCGCCAATAGCCTTATGGTTAAGGATACGGATTTCCGATCACGCTGACGAGTGTTCGAATACCGACAATCGATTAATGTTACACACACACAAGCCTAGAGCTTACTTGGAATGGTACAAGAAATGTTAGTAATTTAACAAAAATCTGCTTATATGTTATTATATAAAAAGAAACCTAGACACGAGAGTTTGATTTTACGTCGATCCCTGCGAATGTAGTGAACAAACGGCTCTTCGTGTGCACGCCAATGCATTTTACGGAAGTGCAACACGTGGCCCACTTACGCGGACTGCTGTTAGTCCGGTCTTGTATACAATAAGTTAAGCCGGCGTAATTATACTTTACTCATACGCGTGATGAAAACAATATAAGCATGTTTTTCGGAAGAGATTAACTAACATATTAACACTTTTTTCATTATTTGAAACATCCTGGATATCAACTGATTGTCTATTTTTTCACTTCTACAAAGTTCAAAAGACGTAATTTAATCATTGGAAATGGGAAAAGCTATTGAAAACTGGAAATGTACTGTAAACAAATTTTTAGTAGATATTTACAAATATAATTTAATTTTACAACTACAATGAGATATGCATAATTAAAAAAAAAATCGTAGGTCTGACAACAAAGCACACCAAAACAAGAAAAGACAAAAAAAAGTTTACCATGCAAATAGTTGACCAGCAATTTGTGCAACAATAGTAACTTTTGTCCTACTTCTAGTTATTTGGTGGCAAATTGTTTAATTTCAACGAAATATTTGAACCTGCAGATAACATCTTGATACTCTCATCAATTAGCTTCTGAGTCATATGTGTGATGTTTGTGTATATAGTGAATGCATCTGTTGCAACATAAGTTTATGAGAAAATTGCAAAAGTCAATGACCTCAATAGAGGTTGGTGATCCATCATTAAAAACAAAACAAGATATAAAATTTATGAAGACAATTTAAACATCAATCGCTCAAAAACACAACAAGTTATTTTTTTTAATTCACAAATATTATTTTATTTGTTCAGTATTATGAAATAACAATACAACTCATGCCCATAACCCATTTAGATTACATTTGTGGGAATTTTCAAATTTCTCTTGGAAAAAAAAATGAAACCTCTCGGATGAAAAGAGTTACATCTTATACAGATATCCCATAAGAGATATAACTCTTCAATCATTGGGTTGGTTTGGTATTTGTAAAAAAAAACAATAAAATATGTTATCAACAACAGTTATGATTACACAGGATACTGTTTGCAGTTGTAAATATTTATTTTCCTTCACATCAAGACTTTTGGACATATTGACAGTTTTGAGAAGTATAAACATAGGAACACCATATTCAAATATTGGTAGAAATCAACTAAATTCAAGAATCATCAAAATCATAATTGTAACAATTGTCGACAGCCAATAGCCTAAATACCCAAAGACAACAAATAAGATAAGGGAAAGAAAACTATCTTATTATCTGAACACAAATTTTGATCAGTCTTAAGCCTATATACGTTTAGTCAGTTGGCTGTACTATCCCAAGAAATTTATATAGAACTTTCTTTTAAAAATTTTAAATTCATAACAAACATTTATCAATGTAAATAAACGGATATTTAAAAAGATACCTTTAATAGTCTCCGGTTGCACAGTTAAAATTTCTTCATTAGGGCTCTCACTTATATTATCTTCTTTGGCATTATCATCACAGCTTTCCTTCTTCTCCTCTACAACATTGTCAACTTCATTCAAGGGATCCTTCGCAGAGCCCACATCTGTATCCTCTATGGATAATGGATCGACGTCATTGTCGACACTTATCTCTGGTGCTGGAGAAATCCCCGATATATCCTTCGGAGATTCTGTTATTTTTACGCCTATATCATTCATGTTTATTTACATATTTTCGTCACAAAGTCACAGTGTCAGCATGCCGTATGCAGGTTCAATGACTTTCCCACCAACATAACCATAGTATTACACTTGATTAAGTCACTATGTATCACTTTGTCGTAAGTTTCACATAAAACTTCACTCACATTATTAAACACAGTTAGGTTTTGATTATTTATAGTAATACTTCCATAAAATAATTTCACGATGCGCAACCAACAGAAGCCGTGAACTTAAGGGTTGGATTGGAACGAGTTACTTGGTTACTTTAAAAAATATGTCACGATTCTTATAAAGTATAGCGACAAACTTTTGAAAATCTATTTGGATAATTAGTTAAAATTAAACTACAGCTAATTTTATTTTATATTCGAACAAAATAAAGCCTTGCGAAGGACGCAAAGTAAATTGCACGCAATGTACAGATAAAAAATCTAGTAATGTTAAATTTTAAATGTCAGCCAGGGGTACCAACCAAAGGCATAGAGTAGTAACTATAGTTGTGAAGTGCACCAATGGAATGCAATACAATTTTAATTCAGTACAATACAATATTGCTGTAGTTTACAATGGTTTCTTTATTATTTAACCCAAAGTATGTCCTAATCATAATTTAACTGTAGCAATGAATTCTGATAAGGTTTTTCTTAAAATAATGCCCTTAATTCCTACTAAATTTGTTGACGAAATCTTAACCGCAACTATAATATTTCAATCACACAGTGACTGTAATTTTAATACTATTAATATTCTTAATTTCTTAATAGTAATACTTTACCACTCATTACCTAACTGTAATAATGGATTTATGTTTTAAATTATAAATTATTACAAAAATCCCATTAATAGTCAACAGTCAACACTGGTCAACACTTAGCCAACACTATAGCACGGTGCGATGATGAAATGTAATGAAAAAGCAAATGGCTGACTAGAAATTGATTCGACGTCTTCGACGTTCTCGAATTCACAACAAAAATAATCCAATTTAATTGCATGAATTATGCTCTATTTATGATCATGACTAGCGAAATAAGATTACAAAAGCTATAATATATCCGAATAACTGTATATTACTTGCCTATATTCAGTCAAAGATACTAAATAAGACATAACTTATCTAAGCATAGAAATTTGCAAATACAAATTACGGTGATTGGGGTGATCGCACGTCCGTTTTTTCTTAAGGTAAGTTGTTTTTATTTATATTCTAAAAATCATATTGATTAAAATCATAATATTCATCATTTGTGCTATAAAAATAGGTAATATTCATTTTTTTCCCGTGTGATATAATTTAGACAGCGCAAAGTTTAAGGCTTTAATATTTCTCTATAACTGAAAGATTTGCTCGTGTAACTTAAATAACTTGTCATCGAGCAGCCATTATCACTGCCAATATTTTTCCCTTCATTTATTCCGATTACCGACCGTTGATTGGAACTGATTATTTTATCCTGTTTATGACAACTGTCTTGTTTACTACTGTTTCAGTTGTAATGTGAACAGGCGCAACATCCTCAGGGTGTCCGCCCTACCTGATCATGGAAAGGAGCTATGATAAGCGACATAGCAAGCATCATAAGGAGAAGCACAAGAAGAGAGATCACAAAAAGTATAGAAGACACAGTGGAACTCATGAACAATCTTATGCTACAGTAAATTCTAGTAAGCCCCTTGTTGAATACTCCGATGTTAGTTCAGAAGACTTGTCAGCCCCAGAGGCAGGAGAAATAGAGAGTGAGGCGAGTTCAATAGGCCGGCATATTGCTGATGATCTTGACCGTACAAGAAAATCGCACCCAGTGCGTACATTTCTTGACAACAAGACAATTTCTGTCTCTACAACCTCAAGCCGCCGCGCTATTGAAGAGTACCCTCTCACCCGTGATTCTTCCTCAGCAGCATCAAGGAGCCGGCGGGGCCTGGAATATGTGGAGGCAGAGCCAGACTTCACTGACGCTTGTTATAAAAAAAAGAAAGAGAAGCGTAAAAAGGACAAAAAGAAGCGTAAGAAGAAGTCTAAACACCGGTCAAGGTCCGCCAGTCTGGAGAGTGTATCACACGATGATGATGTACATATCGAGCCACGGCCTGTGAGCCCGAAGAGGTATCAGCAAGTGCCAATAAGTGATTGGGAGAAGGCTTCGTCTCCTCTTCAGAATGGATCATGTTCACCCATTTCTACAACCACTCCGCCTATGAGGGGCAGACATGATGATTCTCCCCAAATGAGACTTGCAATGCATAGAGAGATGCCAATCCATACTGTGATTTACTCACCTCGCAGGGAAAGGTCACCTGTTATAAGGTGAGATTTTATTTGAAAACTATCAATAGTATTAATGCAGAATCCAAACATTATTTACATGACTTCAATGTTTGTTATGTAACAATTGCATTCTTATGTTTACTGAATTACATTGCAATTTATGTAATTTACTAATACTAGTTCTATGATATTATATGTAATTTTTATATCATTGATTTCACACTGATTAAAAAAGTGTTTTTTGTACAGCAGACGGAGGCAGAAGTCTATGACACCACACACACCATCCATGCCTCCATACCATGAAACTGTCACCATAGACTCTGACAATGAACAGGTCTATGATAGAGTGCGGAGGGACTACTGGATGGACCACAGGGTGCAATCACCTATAATGGTTATATCAGGTATGATTCACTATGTAACTCACATTTAATTACAATTTAAACCACTAGTGGTTTAGGGTACCCTATGATGACAAAAGCGCTTGGAGGGGGGCCGTTATCTGAGTACAAGGTGTGTTAGCAAGGTAATGCCTTTGCTCTGCATATGCAGCGTAACCTTCCTGCATTCAGTTACGGAGTTGCCCTATGACATATAGATTATGAGAGCTGAGGGTTCATTTTAGTGTCAGTGCTATGTTAACCTTTTGAGTGCATACATTTTTTAACCTTTTGAATGCATGTGGTCAGATTCTCCGACTCACGAGCCACGTATGCGAGAGTACAGTCCTCGACGTAGCCACCGTCGCAAGAGTCCCCGGCGCCGGCATAGGAGCAGGGAACGGGAGAGACATCGGGAAGCCCGAGCTCATCATAGGTACCTATCTTTGCTAATATAAGATTTTAATCCGGTGACACAATAATAGATTAAATAATTTAGTTTGATTAAACTCACACTATTTTCGCTAACTGCGTAAACAATAATGCGAACCCATATTCATAGTTCATGCGATGGTTAGCTTTCAACAGCCTCATTTCTCACTAAGAACTCAATGTAGTATTGAGTATTATGATCTTAATGCTTTCAAAGCACCTGTTTAATATTGAGTTAAGGTTAATGATAACTCTGGTGAGGGAAATTTATAATGCGGCAAGTTCTATAATTCCTGGTTTCATTACATGTCTGCTCTTGGTCTGTCTGATGTAATGAATAGCGAATGCGTCGTCAAGTGAGTGACTTACTTAATAACATTGTAGATGATGTTATGTGCATGTTTATAAAAAAAAACAAGATAAATGTTTCGCATGCATGCTGAGTTAATAATGTGAAAAACAAATTATTTATGATTTAATAGAACAATAACTAAAAAAAACTAACATCATTAGTTTTTTTTATAGTTATTGTTAGAATAATAAACATATGAGCTTAAGCTTAATTTTAAGTTAGGCATATGCATATGTTATAGATGTCCATTTTGCTTGTCTGTAATATCACAGGTTCCAAAGTCATAAATTTATTCATATGAATTGCTGATGTATGCTTGTTGTTTTAGCACTTTGTATGCAGGTTTAAATAAATGATTTGTCCTAATCGCTTATTCTTATAAGTTTAGGCAAAGATGCTTTCATGAAGATTATGTGTTCAGTGTTTCATTTTTTTATTATTTTTCATTTGTAGTTTGATCCTGTCAAACAAAATTATAAACAACAATATTAATTCTTAAAAAAATATAATGGTGTCATTGCCCTTGACATGCCTTTCCTTAAATATATTTCTACTGTACTGTAAATCTATTTCTACTATAAATGTATTAACAATGAACATAATAATCAGATCACACAGCCGCAGTTCAATGAAGCGACGTCGCTCGGTGTCGCGAAGCCGACGGCGCTCCTCCTCGCCGCCACGACACCGGCCTCGGCACAGCGAGACCACCAAGGAGAGACACAGGTGGCTTATTATATCTCAACATATATACTAATTTGTAATATGTACCAAGTTCTTGGCCACCTCACTATATGTCCCCACTAAGGGCCTCGGAGCCTACCCTAAGTTAGGGGTGACTAGGCCATAGTTCTTACGGTGAAGGAAAACTTCTCACATGTTTTGTATTATCTATCTCTGCTATATGTTAATTATAATGATTATATTAAGTAGGTTTTTGTAAATTATGCATATTTGTTTTTCAGAGTGAAACATGAATCGCCAAGTCCACCATCAGCGCTACAAAGGAGAATTGATTTCAAAGAGAAGATTAGCGATACAAGCTTGTTTGCCGAACTCGTTAAAGATAAACACAAAAGAGCAAAGGTTAGCAACAATATTATAAACTTTGTAATAAGTTTAATAGGAACAATAACTGCTTCCCACAATATCTAAACAATAAATTATTATTCAAATTTATACCAACTTTTCCATCTTTTTTAGAAGCTTCAAGAGATCTTGAGTCAAAAGGAGGAAGAATCTCAAGGCGCGATTTCTTCAAATACTTCTATAAATAACCCAGAAATTATGACCATCGATGAACTCTCCAATGCCACAGCGGATAGTTCAACACAGGTAATTTACTAATAAAAATTGCCATTTGGTACAAATCTTTTTGGATTTGTAATTATTTGGTTATTATTTATATGTTTATAGGTTTCAAAAGAGGAGGGTGAGAAAGAGCCGGCGACGGAGGTGGTGGACATCCCGATGCCTACGCCTACGGGCTCTGAGGACAACCCCACGCCCACGCCCACTGCTACGGCTACACCCAACCCGCTGCAGCCACCGCCGGAGTTCGACAACTTCGAGCAGAAGACCACGGCTAATGGAGAAACAACTGATAGTGTTGAATCTGATGTATGTTTCATTTTACGGAAAACGATTATCAAAATAGGATAATGTTTTTTTAGGTTAAATAATAGTTATCTCAATGTAATTATAAATGTCGACAGCAAAAAACCCAGACCCCGCCGCCACCACCGCCGCCGCCTCCGAGCAGTGCGCCGCCCCCAGTGTCGGGGACGGCCAGCCTGCCGCCGCTGCCTAAGGTGGGCGGCAGTGTGGTCGACGGCGTCTACCTGCAGAACAGTCAGCCAGCGCCCCCCGCGCACAAGCCCAAAAGCCTCACCAAGTTGCCCATGCCCCCCAACACACAGGTATTGGCCTTTTCGATCTGGCGGTATTAGGAAGTAGTAAGCCTTTACTCTTCCTCTTCAGATAACCAATGGTACTCAAGTCCAAAGTCAGTGTATTTTATGATTTGGAATTTATTCTTTTCAGGTGGAAGACCTGAAGACATTAGCTAATGAGAGTCCTTTAAGTACACCATCCCCAAGTCCCATTAAGAAGCCAGAAAAGCCAAAGAGAACCGGTATCATGAATCTTCCCATGCCACCCTGTAAGTAAAAACATTGGTAATGATTGTCACGTTTAAACTAGGAGATACCTATTGTTTCCTCTATAGAAACTTACATATTGCCATCTTTTTCATTCTCTGAGAAAACTAAGATAACAATGTGTCTTTGTTGTGTTCTAGTGGTGCCGGATTCAGAGGAACTAAGCGCAGACGAGCTGGACGGTTCAACGCCGCCACCCGCATCACGCCGCGACCAGTACTCACACGTGTTTAGTGCGCGCAATAAGCGGGATCCCAATGTATGTACATGTTGGATACAATATGATCACTAAATTTACTTTTGACAATGACAATATTCGACATGTATGTTCTTGTTATTGAGTTATTGTTAGTGAGAGTAACAATTACTCTATTGTAAATAAATTAAATCATTTTTTACAAAAAATGATGCACGTATTCTGAAAATAAAGTAGTCAAATTAGGATATTTAAAATGTGTACATGATTTTCTTCCACAGTCCGGTTCGAAGTTAAAAAGGCCTAGAATATTAAAGAGACGGGGCTCCAAAGTAGTGCCGGTTGCGACGCCGACGTATCATGCCAAAGATTGGGGAGAGAAGTGTGTTGATGGCTTCCAGGTGAACATTAAATTTTACAAATTTATTCTAAAATTCATATTCCTATGAGTACCTTAAATTTTGCTATTTCGTTTTAAGTACTTTGATATGAAATATAAATTAATTTTGTTTTCGCAGGTTATAACCCAAATAGGTGAAGGGACCTACGGTCAAGTGTACAAAGCTCGGGATAAAAACACTGGTCAACTGGTTGCACTCAAGAAGGTGCGTCTGGAGAATGAGAAGGAAGGCTTCCCTATCACTGCGGTGCGAGAGATCAAGATCCTAAGGCAGTTGAATCATAAGAACATTGTTAATCTGCGGGAAATTGTTACTGATAAACAGGATGCTATGGACTTTAGAAAAGTAAGTTATTATCATCTTTTAAGATGATATTTCCCATGTTATATTTAAATAGTTAATAGTGAGGGGTGTTTTTGAGTGCATTTTTTTTATTTAGTATGTCTTAATGAATACCAGCCTAAATGATTTTTGCAAAGCGAGATACAATTTGATTTTTATTGTTACTTTTTCAATAAAAGTGTTTTGTATTAATATAATACCTATGTGTGTGTGTAGAAATATTTGAGGTAATATATTTGGATGCGATAAATTTGATTTGTTCAAAAAAGAAAATCTGTGAGAGTTTACATTGGTTGACATATATGATTTAAACTTAACAATATTGCTTATATTTCATTTGTACAGGATAAAGGATCATTCTACTTAGTGTTTGAGTACATGGACCACGACTTAATGGGTCTGCTGGAGTCCAAGATGGTGGACTTTACCGAGTCGCATAATGCGTCTATAATGCGGCAGCTGCTCGATGGGCTGGCGTACTGCCATCGCAAGAACTTCTTACATAGAGATATCAAATGCAGTAATATCTTGATGAATAACAAGTGAGTGTGCAAGTATGTCTCATTATACCTGCATTTTGCAGTAATTTATCAAGGCTTTATCACTAAATATCATTGCAGTGTTTGATAAGAAACATTATAGTTGATTTGTTTTATTTACTATGTTTAAGACCGTATTGAAAGTAATTTAATGATTGTTAAGGGTGACCCTAAGTGTATATTTGGTAAGAGGAAACTGTTCAGTTAGAGAAAACTGAATGTTAGTCATCATAATTGCCTACAGCGTATAGGAATTGTGTTAAGCACGAAATGTCAATAAGTATTTTAAAATATTGCGATTTGTTTTCCAGAGGGGAGGTGAAGCTTGGTGACTTTGGTCTAGCGCGGCTATGGTCGGCGGAGGACAAGCAGCGGCCGTACACCAACAAGGTGATCACTCTCTGGTACCGGCCGCCGGAGCTGCTGCTGGGCGAGGAGCGCTACGGGCCCGCCGTCGACGTCTGGTCCATGGGTTGCATACTCGGAGAACTGTTCCTCAAACATCCATTATTCCAGGTACTAATACTGATGTCCGAGCGTATGTAGACGTGGAAATAACTTAATGTGGGCCAATTAAAAGCCAATTATAGATTCCTAAAAAAGTATGTTTTCTATTGTAGTAACTGGCTATTTGTACTCATAAAAGATATAAGTAAGTATTCTGTTAATAACTAATTGCAGATATGTATATCTTAACAAATATTGTTTTATTACTTCAGTGATAATATCAGTTCTGGATGACATTGCAACTAGACTAGCAATATCAAAAATGTCATAATCAATGCTTTAACATTTATTGAATAATATTTTCAGGCTAGTGTGGAAATGATGCAACTAGAGATGATATCCCGCGTGTGTGGCACTCCAGTACCGGGTGTATGGCCTAACGTGGTTAACCTGCCGCTCTGGCACACGCTGCGACCAAAGAGATTCCATAAACGCTGCGTCCGTGAGCAGTTTGCCTTCATGCCCGGTCCGGCACTCAATCTGCTGGATCGTATGCTGGAGTTAGATCCCGAGAAGAGGATCACTGCAGAAGAAGCTCTTAAGAGTCCCTGGTTGAAGAATGTGGTGCCGGAACAGTAAGTTCTAATGATTACTCTTATTCATACAAAACAAAATAAACTAAAAACACAAATGAAGAAATGAATGCACAATTATTTTTTTCTCATATGAAATTCTTTTGTCTTCCAGAATGCCTGCTCCAGAGTTACCAACATGGCAAGATTGTCATGAGCTGTGGTCAAAACAGCGTAGGCGACAGCAAAGGGAACAAGATCAGACCAAACCAAAATCTTATGGGTTTGCATCCAACGATTGCGATAAAGACCCTAACTTCAAGCAGAATGATAGCTCAAACCAATCGGATTCTGGCTTCCGAAGTGAATCATATAAAATGGAGAGTGGTTTTAAATCGGAGTCAGGACAAGAGACTGTGGGACAAGTTAAATAGTATATGGAGTATTTCTATGGTTACTATGGATAACCATAGATTTGTGCCTTGTGCTTTAGTGCAAGTGATGCTAAGTGCTAGTGACACATTAGTGAGGTGAATCATGTATTTATGCAGTGCCTGACATTGAACATTTCCATTCCTAGGATCAGCTTTCTATCTCCCATCTCGGGAAGATTTGTGAATAGCTTGGAGCCATCTCAAGACTTCAGGGATGTCTGCTGTGAGAATAAATTCAAGAAGGTAATGAAGAAGTGAATTATAGTTCTTATTGTAAAATTATTTATCAATTCATGCTCTTTGATAGGAATTTAAGAGAGCAAGATATTTATCACAATTTTAACATCACAGACTATGTCTTGTAATTAACCAACATAAGTGAAAGACTCAGTCTTAAGATGTCCAAGGAATCCTGGATATGTATAGGCTTATAGATTTACGAGCTTGATAAATAAGCTAATAATGGCAAAACACAAATTAACTTAAACTTCTGCATATTTGGGATTGTCTACTGTAAACTTTTTTTTGTTAATAAATAGGCTTATATATTCAAAAGAAATTTAATTTATAAAGTCTGAAAGAAAATCGTAATTTATTGAGCTGCATAATACTGGATATTATTGACATAAGTTTCCAAATTGAAATTAAATTTAATATTTTATAAAGTTAACAAAAACAATTTTCAAGTATTTGTTTTAATTTTTTTTAATATTGAAATATACAGATGCACAGGATGGTTTTATTTTGTACTACTCACAGTATCATATTTTTATCTTAGACAAAAAAAAGTATTGAGATTAATCATCACCTTTTAACCAAAAATTACTTTCAATTTAAAGATCTTTATTTCTTTTATCAGTTTGCACTCACAGATTTTTTCTTTAATGATAACAACCTATAGATGAAGTGTTTCTTACAAGTTTGTCCTCTTATAAAGAAAGTCATTTTGTTTCAGTCACTTTGGATATCTCTAGGTTGTAAATTTATGTCACAACACTTAACCTATCCTTTACCAAAACAACTGACATCCCTATGTAGTACACTTAAATAAACTGAGAATAAACAAAAAGACCAAGGAAGCTGATGAAGTGGTAATGTTTCCATGCCTTTCACGCTTTCGCCAATTAAACGTGTTAACATATCTGTGCGTTTTATTTTATGGACATCTTTGTCCTGATAGACACGGCCATATTCTGACCAGATCTAGGCAAAAAATATCGCAATTGCAGACAGCATGACTAATTAATCTTTGTAAGAAATAAAGTACAAGAGATTTGGGAAAGACCTAACTTGTCAAATGTTACCAGCTTCAGATATGTAAATTTTTACATGAAAACCAGGTTATTTTTGAAATAATCATTATGATAAAAAAATCTCTGCCACAAGATTTAAGAGATTTTCATGATATTATGAATAAGAGAATGTATTAATTTTTATTTTTAAAACATAAGCATAATAGAAATATTTGATTTTCTAGTAAATCAAGTTTAAATGAAAAATAAACAAAGTTTTATGATGGTCATATCTAACTAATATTGGTAGTAAATGTTTGTCAATACTTATCGCGTTCTTATGTACGTTTCACAGTATATAGAGTATTTAACTCAAGATAAATGATCCTTTAATTTTATTTGGATGTATTTTGATTTTTTGCTTCGGAATAATTACTTGGCAAATTATGAAATTGGATTGATTCCTATCAGTTCTATCCTCTATTAAGAGATTTAAAAATGCTCGAATGCTGTTTTCCCAGAATGTTGAAAGAAATGACTTACCATGGGTTTCTGATGCCACTTAAAATATTGTTATCTCTGTTTTGTTGAAGATGAAAAACAATGATAATGATATATTTTATTCAGAGATTTTGGACTCAGAAAAGATATAATGAGGAGAAATCAACTATGTTATGAATAATTTGTTTACCAACATGTCTTAGTCAAATCTTAGATTAAAAATTAAACCATTCCAATTTAGTAAATGCATAACGGAATTTATAATTCTTGATTATTGACGTTATATTGCTAGTAATCTGTCGGAAATAACTAGATGTAGAAATTGTACAGAACGACTGGATTAATCTCCACATGTAGATAAGTATATTTGTATAGAAAATAAACATATTCAAAAATACTTTTTTAAAATGATAACTGTGTCGAATTTGCTGAAGATTGCCAAGTTGAAAATAGAGGAGACTCTTTTGTGGCCTTTAAATATATGTACGATGTACTCAGTGGTTAGATGTACCTTTGTTTATGATAGATATTAGAATTTTTAAATTGTTAATTATCAAATGGCAATAAACTTCTGAGTTCAGGTTTTAATATTTTTGTAAATATTGGGGTTAGATTAATTTTAATTTATCCGTTCTGTTTTGTACTATTTAGACATTTTTTAAGTGTATGCCTAGATGGGATGCAGATATTGTAACTACCTTCATATATTAATACTACTATCATAGTTAAGAACATTTGGCAGTATATTTTTTTTGGTTTTGCTTCTTTTTTTTCTGCAATGTTTTTCTAAGTGAAATTTTAGGTCCCAATTATTTTACTAGTCTTTGGATTAAGTTTTTATTTAGTATCTACTATAATGGCATTGTATTACCTTTTTTTTATTTGAAATAATCTAGAATTTCTTACAAAATTAATACATACCTATTAAAATATCTTCATTCCACTGGCTACAATCAAAAGATCCGTAAATATTTAAGTTAGCATAATAAATTGGATCTACCAAACTATTTGGCATTTAATATATAATAGTGTAATAATATGTTGTAAGGAAATATGTGTATATTCACTCTTTAGCACTATCGGAAGCATCACATTGTGTTTGTAAATAGTTTCAAATAGTATATAAGATTGTTCACAAAATGTTTTAATAGTAAAACTGTTCGAACATGTATTAATGTGGGATATATTTAATGGATTGGCATTTAAGTATATTATTAAGGAATAAGCCAAAAGGCTTGTTTCCAAAGCTTGAAAACCTAAGATGTATGTATTATCAGCTCAAAATTATTATTTATATCTTGTATTTTGTCTCCCAGATCTTCCATTATTCTGTTTTAAACTAATTTAGTTTCTCGAACCAAATTCATTGGCTTTTTGTTTTTTATGGGCAGTAGAAGTTATTTTGGTCTCTGTATTTATACATTGCAGCAGACGATATGTTCATTATATTGATTTGCGGCACAAGCCAACCCTATGGCGACATTTCTGATTGGGGATTGTAAGTGTCAATTACCCCTTTTTTTGCAATAGTATTTGCTAAACCGAAATTAATTTCTGCTTCCCTTACCAGTATTGTAGCAAAATGAACATAATTAGGAAACTTGGCCGCTGCCGCTGGACAGTTGTATTAAATAGTAATAAAAGGCGGTGTTGCCATGTTAACAAATAATCCGGAGTTTAGGGGACTTATGTGATAGTGAATATTTAACACTTAGATAAAAGATGTATGGAATATTATAGTATGTTGTTTTAAACATTTATTATGTTGGTAATGGGTGTATAATTTTATTTATTAAATCATAAAGACCATGTAAAGTTCCTAGGAACTATTTCAACTAGAATGAAATTTTTAAACAGGAATTTTTTTTAGGTAACATAACTTCGGCCAGTTCCTAGACTCCTATGTCCGTGTTTGAACGTTCGCGTTGATTTTATACAGGTGTTGTGTTGTTTTATCGAAGACTGAGTGCCGCGAGTGTCGCCATAACTCTGGATTGTTATAATTTGAAATGAAATGTAAAAATGTACCTAACTTTTCTATAAATAATTAAACAGCAATTATTATGATGTGTGATTTTTATTATTCCTTTTATAAACTTTGTCGTTGGGTCATATGTCACCACTGATGGTATCGAAAGCTATCCGAGTTAGAGGTGACCTTAGTCAATAGACGTTCTCCTTCTCGGCTATATTCCTAATTGCTTCGTGGGACATAGATTTTAAACAGAATGAATTTGAAATAGAAAGTATTTAGTGGCTTCACTTTTTATGTGAAATAAAAACAACAATATAATAAAATGCGTTTATTAAAATTAAGGAACTAGCTTACATATATATGTTAAGGCAAATGTTTGCCTGCGTTTATTGACCAGTTCAAATATTTGCATCCTATTTAACAATTTTTTAATCCTGAAACAATTACAAGAACATTAAGATTTTACTCTTTAAGAAAACTAAGGATAAAGTTCCTGTAAGTGCTTCGGTAGTTGAAATGCACGTACTGAGCACACTGAAAATGAAGTCGATTGAATCAAATTAGATGACTAGAATTTCATTTGACCTAATAGTCTTGAAATACATGAAAAAATCAATTTAATCTATTTTTATGGTTCAAATTGATATTTCATTTTTACGTATAAAATAGGAAGAGTTATGGAGTATAGGTGATGATTTTACACAGCACTGCGTCCATCCGTAAGACAAATCAAATCCGTTTAATCCGTGGATGCGTTGCGTTCGGCGTTGTCCAATGGACGCGTTTTAATGTTCGTTCAAAAATCTTGATTCGACATATATTTTATAATCTACAAAATGGCCGTCATCGCCGTCATTAGGCACCGTTGATTCAGCTTACAATATACAAATTGAAATGTGTCAACATTTTATTTAAACTATAATATATTTAATTGTATTATTAAAATATACGTACACAGTTCTTGAAAAATGTTTGGTTGTACATTTTGAGTCGAGTTTTCACTGACGAAACTCGAGTACAAGAACATATTGTATAGTTGTTTCTGCAGTGAAAGCCCACCGTATCTACGTATTACATGGCGTAACATATTTAAGTACTTTGTACGAAATATAATATGTTATTTTTAATCTTATAACTAATTAATTTCAATATGTATTATGAATATTTTTTATGTATAGTATTTATTAGGTTTTATAGGTTTATTTGTAGAATGAACGGATTGTATGAAAAAAAAACGTAAAGTAATATTACAAAATAAAAATAAATATTGTTGTAAACTAAAATAGTACAAATATAAAAAAAATAGAATTAAAATTTCAAATGATTATTTTTAAGTAAAAAAATTGACCATAAAACTAACAAAATATAATAGAAAAAATGTTACAAAAATGAAAAATTATTTTCATATATACTAATTAAATAATTTTTTTTTATTTTCGAATATTAAATAAGGTAGTTATTTATTACGACGCGAAAAAAAATATCGGATGTTTATAATAATTTTATGAAATTTTAACAAAATATTTTTATATCACGTAATTTGTAATAACATGAATAGAACATAAAAAAATGATTAAATAAATTAACAAAAATAGCGTTTCCCGTTGGACCTATCGGCCCAATTGGAATTTATTTCCCTTTGGGCCGATCGATTGGCTGAAAACATTAACAAAAAAGGTATAATTTGATTAAAATAAGTAATAATTTACAGTTAAAGTTGATACAACTAGAGTTGGTCGTTGTTACGTACTTTGTCTTGTAATACTGAGCTGGTAAAGTGTTTCAAGGTGTTGCGACCTGAAATAAATAATGAATATATGCTTCTATAACATAATGAATAATTTTATACCAATTTTATGGTGTATTTTCTACACATCGATTCGAGAGATCCCTCCTTTCATGGCCCTGAATAATTATTCTAAGATTTTTGT